AATCAGAAAATGGATGGGATAGGGGACTAGTGGGGGGAAAGGGAGGAGGGGAGGGAGAGGGAACTGGGTTTGACATGTAAAACAAGTTTGTTTCTAATTTAAATAAAAGAAACATTAAAATATAGAATATTACAAATCAAAAACATAGGCATCAGAATTTGTCTCCTAAGTACCTGTGTCCTCACTAGTGGGTTATTGGTACACTCATGCTATATGTGAGTTTTCTGTGTGTAACTTCCAACATTTAACAGATCGCTAGTGAGACTTACACATGAGAAACAACTTAAAACCAAAGACAAATACAGGTTTCAACAGCAATTAGACAGCAAAGATGATTATCCAAAGATTAATAAGAACTTATCCAGCAACAAAGGTTTTCTCAGCAATAATGTAGTTGTGCGGTATATAGTGATAGCTCCTGAAGCTAAGGGATGTGATAACGTCTATAATAGCATTGTTTCACTAGAAAAGTATTATTTGGAATGAGGATGAATAGTAATAGTTTTAAGAGAACAGATAACAGAGTGGTTAGCATTTAAATGTTCTCAATATGTAAGTTGAAGTGCATAATTGAGAGATAAGGTAATTTTCTCAATAAGAATGTAATAAACCAAAGAAAATCTGAATGTGACCCAAATGGTGAAACCTCCATCTATGAAAGCTCTTCTCACTATCACTCTTGATCTTCACATGTTGGCCTCTCTTTTCTCTACTTTAGATGCCATATTTTTGTTGGTTTCTTTTGGAATCACATCTCTGTAACTTTCTTGATATATAAAATAGAGATAATTATGCAAATAAACTTTAAACCTTAAGTCTATTACTATTTTTAGAATAAGCAATTTTTCAAAAGCAGTTTAAACCATATTTCAAAGATATGATATCATTTATTAAACATTAAGCAGGATAACTTTTCTAAAAGGTACTGGATAGCATCTTGTGGTAGTGTTTATGCTTTTTAACTAGTCATGCTCTTATTCCTTCCCAAAGCTTCATCTTTATCCTTTGCCTCCAATAGACTCCACATATTCGAACCTCTCTTGTGTTTTTTCTCTTTCCCTTTATATGTCTGCAAGCTAATAAAAATGGTGATTGACCAGGCTGAGCCACAACATGGATCTTGCCTTTGTAACTACTTTCTTACTGGATTTAAGTCTTGTTCCATAAGATGAAACTTATATCTAGCATCATGATTGGACATTGAGCCCATGGCTAGATAAGTCATAGACCCTAGAGGAAAACTACTACTAACATTTTGCTTAGTTGTCACAAAATGTAAACCAACTCCTAACAATTTATCACTATATTCATAGATCTCCAAAGTCTCATCAGAGAAGCACCTATTTTTGGGAGGTGGATATAAATGTAGAGACACACAATTGACCAAGGTGTAGAGAATAAGAAAGCTACAGAATGCTCAGCCTTATGGAATGTTTACACAGTATCCCTACTCCTGAAACTGAAGGATTAATTTGTAAGAGGGTGCAGAAAAAGTGAAAGAGCCAGAAGCAGTAGATAACTACAAGTAAACAGCAGGGTAGCTGCACATATGAATTCAGAGTAGTTGTTAGAGCAAACACAAAACCTGTGCAACCTCAGCCAGACCAAAATCTCAGCATAGAGAATGTAGATGGGTGAGCAACTCCATAATAGGAACTCTTATGGTTCCTTTAGATTTAAATAAAAAGAACAGATTTTGTGACAATACAGTCATAACAACACTTTTCATCATAATTCACAAAACTCATCATAATATATACAATATAATTTTAAATATGTGCACATACCCTGTCAAATAAAAATGAAAAGAAAAGTTTCCTGTTCCCAGATTTCCTTAGTTGCCTATAATTCTTTATGTAGGGTTGAGGTCCTATGGGCTTTTCTCTGTCTAGAAGTGGCCTCCCTTGGGGCAGAGGGCATCTATTAATTGCCTGGTGACAAACAATCTCTCCCTCAGATATGTAGGCAGCATTATATGGACTCCACAGTTTATATATATACATGAATGTATATAAAAACAACTAGTGAAAAAAAGAAGCCACAAGACTGAAGGTGAGTGGGTAGGTGTATATGGGAGGTTTCAAAGGAAAGAAAGGGAAGGAAAGATGTAATAAAATTGTAGTCTCAGACAATTAAAAATATCACTAATGAGGATATATCAGAAATTTGAAAAATTTGTAATTGCAGAACTAAAGTAAATGGCCAGTAATGTATATTATATAATATCGCAAAATGGAAGTTATTAATGAAGGGAAGTAACTGAAAACACAATAAAAATAGTATAAAATTATGGAAGTATGTTAGATTTCAACTGTATAGGACATGTGTGTTATACCAAAGAAAATCGGTAGAACAAATGCAGCCTACAAAGAAGAGAAGTTACTTAATTATATGACAATCCCACATGTTTCAGCCAGTCAGGTTGTATTGATTAGACAATAACAAGAATAGTAGAACTTGAATTATCATAGCAGCAGTAGATGGAAGAAAGCACTGAAGAAGTGTCTGCTAACACTCGCAGTAGAGATTCACTTGTTGTCTGATGCAGCTAATTTAAGATATACAAATGTTAACTGACATGGATAAAAGTATCTCCATATTATGTGTAGTAACTCCCTTTCACCCAAGTGGATTAACTACTAGAATGGAATGAAACACTTTCTCTGTTCATTTTGTGATATGAGATCTCCCAGAATCTAATCAATGATTGCAACCTGAGTTTTAAAAAAAGGCACGCAAGTATACTCATACCAATAATTCAGTTTTTGAAAAGTGGCTATTGATGTTCTGCAAAGATGTTTGATTTTTCTATTACTAATTTTTTTTAAAAGGAACCATGCTTTGAGTTAACTTGAATTCTACCTTCTCATCTCTGAGGCATAGCCTTCGGTTCTATAATTTTACTTTGACACATACAACATGCCATATACATAATAAAATAACATTCTGTGTACTTTTATAGTCATTTTACAAGTATTTGATTATGTTTTCCATTACTTCCCTCTTCATTTGTAACTTCCCTCTTGCTATCATTTACAATATATATTTCTTATCATTTTACTTCACTCCCACAATTATATGTTTTGGATTTCTGTTATATAGCTGTTAGTAATAATTATTTTGAGACTACAGTTTAATTAAAACTTGATTGACCATTCCTCTACAATGATTATTAGATCCTGCATGAGCTAGTTTTTATTTTAAATTGACACAAGTCAGGATCATGTGAGAAGTAGAAAATTTAGTGGAAAATATTGATTCATCTGTTTGGACTGTGGCCTGTAGGGAGGTCTGTGGGACATTTCCACTTGATTAGTGGCTAATGTTATGGGCCAGGTTCATTATGGGTGGTGTCACACCTAGGCAAGTGGTCCTGGGTTGTATAAGAAAGAAAAGAAAAGAAGCCATGAGGAGCAAACTAGTAAACAGCATTCCTCTATTGTCTCTGGTGAAGTTCCTGCATGCAGGGTTTTGTACTGATTTTTCATGATGCACTGTAAGCTGGAGGGCTCTAGCCCTCCAGCCACATAGTAATCACTGCTCACCTTAGTGCTAGTTTAATAAATAGTTGTTTCTTAGAATCTTTCTTCTCCTCTCCTACACCAGGGGCTTGCTTGGCACTCATTGCTATAATTTCATGCTGCTGATTCCTTTGTGTATCAGAAGAAGATTTTCCTTCCTAAGAATTCTCATGCATGAAATGGAACAGACTGAGAACTTCTTTTCCTTATTTATTCAGGTAGAAATGTAAAGGCAAATTTGGCTAAAGAAGAATATTAGAGTTAACATGGAAGAACAGTGTTATACACATGATCTAACATTACCTGGTAGATTGTAATAGCATAAAAATTTGAACATTTGTCTTTCTGTGTGTTTATGTATGTAAGTCTGTTTCATTGTTGATATTGTCAGCAGGAGGAAACAGAGAGACAAGAAGGGGAGTCACCGTTGAAGAGGGATATTCATATTTCCCTGCAAACAGACTTATAGATAGGGTTTCAAGGCAGCATGTCTCTTTGGTGTTAGCACCAAAAAATGAGAGTCTAGACGTAGGATGAGAAATGATTTGAGGAACTTGGTCAATCAAAATATACACAAAAAATCCCTTAGAAAGTCCTAGTTTACTGCATTAATGTGAGTCATGTTTCCTCAGCACAGCAAAATGTGTCTTGTATAGTTTTAATGACTTTTGTCCATATTAAATATCTCTACCTTAGCCCAGAATGTAGCCACGAAAAGCAATACTTCTATAATGCAATGTTTTTCATTCATGAGACTTTATTTCATTAATCTTAATTGATGACTTCTGTAATGTCAATCACTACCTTTCTGTTCCACAGGAATAAACACAGTCAAGCTCAAATTTTGCGACCAGTCTCAGCAGAGAACCTGAAACATTCATTTGAACATGTCATTTTACTGAAATCCAGAATTTAATTGAATGGATGTGATAAGTACATTAAAATATTCAGAACATATTTTTTCCTTTACTAATTTTAGAGATTTTATTTTTTTAAGTGTGTGTGTGTGTGTGTGTGTGTGTGTGTGTGTGTGTGTGTGTCTATCAGAGTTCAGTGTATACAGAGGCTCCAGATAAAGATGATAGATCCATTAAAACTGGATTACAGGTGAGTGAGAGCTGCTTGAAATGGATGCTTGAAACAGAAGGCCAGCAGCTGAATCATCTCTCCAGCATCACCACCACCACCCATTTAAAATATGAAGTAGAGTGAGAGCAAACAGTAATCAGGATACATTGTGTAATTTTCAATAAAAGGGAGAAAGGAAGAAGATAAAAATTTTCCATTAATATTTAGACACATTGCACTTCCAAAACTCTATGATCAAGCAACATGGATAAATATGATAAAAGTTTCTCTGATACAGTCTCTTGTTTTGGTGTATTATAGAGGATGCTGTCTAGTATTCCACATCTGTAATCCACAGTGGAGGTGATGTCTTTGGTCTATGCTGTACTTTGGCATAATAATCAAAGAACTATGGTTTCACACAACACTACTCTATTTCACCCTTATGCATTCCTCCTCCTGGGAATCCCTGGATTGGAACACATGCACTGTTGGATTGGTTTTCCTTTCTTTGCTGTGTTCCTAACAGCTGTACTTGGGAATATAACCATCCTTTATGTGATTCAGACAGAACAGGGTCTTCACCAGCCCATGTTCTACTTCCTGGCCATGCTGTCATCTATTGACCTGGGACTGTCCACATCCACTATCCCCAAGATGCTTGGAATCTTTTGGCTAAACCTGAGAGAAATATTATTTGAGGGATGTCTCATCCAGATGTTCTTCATCCACCTGTGCACTGGTATGGAGTCAGCTGTGCTTGTAGCCATGGCCTATGATCGCTATGTTGCCATCTGTAACCCTCTTCGCTATACATTGGTGCTGACGAACAAGATAGTATTCATCATTGCTTGGGTCATCCTCCTGAGACCATTGGTTCTTGCCATGCCATTTGTCTTTCTCATCTTGCGGTTACCATTTTGTGGGCACCAAATCATCCCCCACACATACTGTGAACACATGGGAATTGCCCGGCTGTCCTGTGCCAGCATCAAGGTCAATATGATCTATGGCTTGTTTACCATCGCTAGCCTTATGTGTGACATTGTAGTTGTTGTCATTTCCTATGTCCAGATCCTTCGTGCTGTGTTTCGATTATCTTCTCAAGAAGCTCGTCTCAAGGCACTCAGCACCTGTGGATCTCATGTGTATGTCATGTTGACCTTCTATACTCCTGCCTTCTTTTCATTTATGACTCATAGGTTTGGCCATAATATACCACGCTACATCCACATACTTTTGGCCAATTTCTATGTAGTCATTCCACCTGCTCTCAACCCTGTAATCTATGGTGTAAGAACAAAACAGATTAGGGAACAGGTACTGAAAATATTTTCCAAGAAATGAAATATCCCTTATATTCATACAAACACACAGACACACAGACACAGACACAGACACAGACACACAGACACAGACACAGACACAGACACACACACACACACACACAAAACAGATGCAGAAAAGAAAGACCAGTGATGATCAATGTTCAAATAGAAGGCAAAATTTGCAAGTTATGTAATTCTATATAGGCAGTGGATTGCCAATATTGTAATATTGTCCTACCAGGCTCTTTTCTAACCTAGGTGTTTAGGATTAGGTACATGTTACATGTATTAGGAAAGATTTTTTAAAACCTTTTCCAATTTAGTGAACAATTGGGATGCTTCATCTTGAGTCAAATAATCACTTTGTACTTCTTCCATTATGCCTGGGCACACCAGCCTTGTGTACCTCAAAAATAAAAGAAATGTTTGAAAGTTCACAAATAAGGGAACAATCATAGACCACCAAAAATCTTGTATATCATATTATTAAAGCCAAATGGAAGGTCATCCCTGTTAGGACAACCTAAAATTATGAAGTCAGAGTACCTGACACATGTGGGCACTGATTGGAAGTCTTGTATATCATATTATTAAAGCCAAATGGAAGGTCATCCCTGTTAGGGCAACCTAAAATTATGAAGTCAGAGTACCTGACACATGTGGGCACTGATTGTCAAAATAGTTGTATTTTTAAATTTGTTTAATTTGAACCTGATGCATTGAGAATTTCAGTTATGTGAGAACTTGAGTCATGAACATAATTAAACCCTTAGAAATTCTGGTCAATGTGCTGCAGTTCTTTTTTTTTTTTCAAGATTTTCAAACAAGTATTATTTACATGCTGTAAAAATGTAGTAAAATTTAATGTCAACAACTCAGAAATAATGTGTTCTTTTGAAAGAAGGTTTTCTCTGTAATGTTTATTATTTTTTAACCACGATGAATGTCATTGGTACAGAATGTTGGAAGTTTCAGCAATAGAAAATCTTGAACTCTCTGTGTTTGGTTTTGTTTGCTAGTTTCATTGAAACAGGCTCCATGTAGTATAATCTAGTATTAACTAACTCTTTGCATCACGATTGAAATTATGTGAGTAAAATTCCCAGGGAAAAGAACTTTGTGACATTCTGATAAAACATAACTTTCTAGTAGTAATTTTATCTCAAAACCAGTATAAATTTGTAAACCACAAAGTCCCATTTGTCATTTTGTGATACATTTGGCTTCCAGATACACTTTTAAAAAAACATTCCAGGCATGCCTATTGTGCAGAATGCAGTTCATGGAAGAAACCTTACCTGGTGATACTATGGTAGATAACATGATATTACAAACTGTTAGAGAAAACTTGTACTAATTAACATTGCACTTAAACTAGATATTCTCTGGGAAATCACCTGGCAGTTATGCTGTGTAAATTAGACAGGACAGACAAGTGAATCTTCTAGGACCTTACTGAGTTATGAAACTATGTCATCCTTTACCTATGTTTTATTCAGATTATGAAATAACCTTGAATTTTTATTGCTATACTTGCATCTTTGGTTAGACAAGAGACATTCTAGTGTATGATTTCTAGTATGATTGGCATAGTTTTAGAAAGTTTGATAGATTTATAAGTATAGCTATCTAGATGAGCTATTTACTATTAGTCTTCTACATACAGGCTTGGTTTCCTTCATAAGTATTTCAGCATACAGTACATCCATTACTTCTTTCTATGAATGCTCACATTACTAGATCACAGATTTGTCGTATTGTTGCTTTATCTTTGTGTAGGATGTGGGCTGGATCAAAGGGTCTCTTTTACTGCCTACTCTACTTTAGTCTACTTCAGATTTAGTCTTCCCTTGTTGCTATGACACAGATGAACTCAGGCCCCATGTTTCTAAGTCTTTTTCAGTACATCAACTACCCAACCCTATATGCCTATTGTTGAAATAGGAAAGACATTATTATTTATTTGCTGGTCCAGGGAAGTCTTAAGCAGGTGCACAGACTTGTCCACTTGCTAAAAATACAGTGATTTTAATAAAACATCCTTCTACATCCTCCCTGATAATGATATTTTCTAAAAAGTGGTGGATTCCTTCATATTATACAAAACAAAACTTCTGGGAATACTAGAACAATAGGAAGTTTTAGGGATGTTTTGGGTTCTCAGTGTCTCTTGATAAAATCTTAAGCTTCCATGGTGCTTTTCATCAGTAAGAAACATTGTGCTTTAAAAGCACATCTATTTCTTTATTTTTATTTACATCTTTTAAAATTGTATAGGAGTGGAAATGTGTATCAGAGACCTGGTAGTTATAGGACATGAAAGTGACAGTAGTAAACTATGGTAGCCATATCTGTGGGAAGTGTGTTTCTGAGAATTCCATGGAGATTTGGCTGTACATAAAATTAGTGTTGGTGTGTAAGAAAATTATGATATTGAAGCTATACAGACTTACTTTGTCTACTCATTGGCCAATATGCTGTACAACTGTATGGACAATTTCCATTTAGTATTTGTAAAGTTATATGAGTTTTCTGATACGACACAGAAAATACATATGTAAAATATATAGCCAGTAAATAACTGTATGTTTTTCTCATCCTTTTATTTTGAGAGAAGACTTTGGCTTACATTTTCATCTAGTCACTAGGAAATTTATCTGTATCCCAACCCACATAATTAACTGAATTTTAGAGCCTATACAATTAATACAGATAACTTAAAAATAATGGATGTCGAATGCATTCCTACTGTAGTGTTCCCTTTTCTGCAGTGAACACATACAGGCTGTGCATAGTCTTTTTATATGACTTTTATTGTTTCATCATAATACTGGTGAATTTTATCCATGGATAACAATGAACACTACTGAAATCCAGAGACACTTCAGCAGTCAGAAAGCGTGTAACTCACATTCTTGAAAATGTGTCAAGAAAGAGACTCTGTAAAATTATAACTTAATTCTGAGATGTATGATCATAACTTCAAAACCATAAGCGAATATGACAACTGGAAAACTAAAGTGCACATTTGCAAGATCATCATTCAAAAAGAGGACAACAAAAAATAATTAGAGGAGGTGGTAACATATATACTGTCATCAAATGAATGTGGAAATATGTACTTGTGTACTATAGCAAACAGTAAGAAACTTCCTAATAGGTGATGATAAATGGTCAACAACTGATGTCATATGTCATCTCTCTTTGTATATTACATCCTATAAAAGGTGACTTAGAAATGAATATTTTGATGGTTATTTCTAGTCAGCGTTACAGCAATCCCAAAACTGTTTACCATAATTAATGAGGTCACTAAAAAATGCACATTTTTGTACATAATAAGTGATAACAAGTACATTGTGAATTTTTTTGGGTTTTACTCTCTTGGATACAAATGTACAGAGATCACTATGTATGTTAAAAATATAGAGCTCAAGGAAAAAACAAAGAAGATATAAAATATGTGGTCCCATGTAAAAACAATGGTCATGCTAGTATGCATAAAGTCTAAACTGACATTCTTCATATGAAAAGAAACTATATGATCTCAATCTTGTGATAATTTAACATTTCAAAGACATTTCCCTTTTCCTGTGATAGTGTAGTCAATTTAAGATGAGCTGGCAAAGATCCCTTGATAAAATGGAGGTGGGGCAGTTAAGTAGGTACAAACAGGAAACAATCACACATTATAGAAAGAACCAAAAAGTCTTGCAAATGCCTAAATGAAGGTAGATAAAACATGCATTTGCATAGATTTTTGCTTGTTTTTGAAAGTTGTTTAAGACACATAGATTGATATTTCCTATAGTGCTAATACATAGACATTTATGTTAATTTGAATATTTAAATAAACTCAATGGTAATCTCAATAATTTGATTCTAATGATCATGTTAGGTCAGAAAGTGAGGCTCTTCCATCCCACGTGAAGGGACACACTCTGGCCCTGGGCACATGGGGAAGGGTGCAGGCCCAGC